TTGTCGTTTACCAGCGCAAGTCAAGAATGCCACCTGCTTGTGTAAAAAATCGCAAACTAATTTTTTTTTTTTTTCCAGATTTGGCTCATGGAGTGTTTGCGAATTGTTGATCAGCCTCAAAACCTTGAAGCTAATGGAGTAAAGACATTCCCTGAACGTCAAATCCTTTATAAGCATAAGAACGAAGAGGAATGGACGTCGTTTTTCTGTCATGGGGTTCCTAACATACGGTTTGTGATTCCTTGGTGGAACATAAATAGTATGATTGGGAATAGTCTCAATTGCCCTTACATTAGGCTTTTAGGCCTATCTAGTACTACTTATATCTTTCTTTGTAGGGTGATGAGACAATACGGGATGAGGAAATTTATTCCTCCGCAAAATTGTGATGCCCCTAAAGATGTGACCTTTAAACCCGAAAGGATTGCTTGTTGGATGGAATATTGGTCGAGTCTTCCTAAGTGGGTAATACTAAATCCTCCCACGAGTATTACATTATTGGTGTGCCTCAGTCGTATGCAACCAAAAATATCACAACTAAGCTAACTGCAAATAAACGTAGTTAGGGGAGTCGAGTTCGAATCCACAGGGAAAAAGGGACTAATAACTGCAAACCTAAGTGGAATTACTCTAGGAACGTAGTAATCTAAGTAACAAGGGGGTTTTGACAAGCAATGGTGACAATTAAACTAAATCAGAACAATGAACGTAAATAGTATGCAATCAATGAGAATAACGGTCTTGGTTATGCGAAATCCACAATTGAACATACAAATTGATCATAGAAGCTTCTTCAATCAAACACTATTGAACACCTTGTTGTAGAATTCTAAATTCTAAATTCTCATAAGCTAGTTAGAAATAGCAAAGCGCTCCTTTCTAACCCTTTCTAATGTATAATTTAAGACAAGCGCTCTAAATCATCCACAAGAAGAACATAAACGGAGAAATCAACAAGGATTGAATAAATTAACACAAGCGGTCTAATTTCTTCAATAATATTATTCCCTCTTTAAGTTATCAATCAAAAGCATGCATTCATAACCCAAAGTTGCTACTTTGGAAAGATTAATTAGATGCAAGCGAATCTAACAATTCTAACCTAGCAATTGATTAAAGCAAATCATGAAATAATTCAAAGGAATAATAAACATTCAAAAGATAATAATAAAGAGAAGAGAAATCTCACAATTCGTAGCCAAAAGCTTCAATCTTTAACCAAGAATCCGGAAGATTAAGCTTCCATGGATTCTAATTCAAAAACAAAGATTTCTGAAATTTGCCAAGAACCCTAGAAAACTTTTACTTCTCTCTAACTTAATTCTCACTAATTAATCTCCTTTAACTCTTCATAAAAATAGACTATATATATGTTTCCATACTTAAATAATATAAAACAATAATAAAAATAATAAATAAATACAAAACACGAGCCAAGACAAAGCAAACTGCTGAAAAATAACCAAAACAGGCCCCGAAATCTGGAAGACCCGCTGCCAGCTGCTCGGGACCCGCTGGCAGCGGCTAAAGCAGCAAAACACTTCGTCCTCTCTGGCTGACCCGCTGCCAGCGGCTCTGGCCAGCTGCCAGCGGCCCTAGCAGCGGTTCTGCTGTCTTCTGCTGTCTTCTTTGCTCTTTCTTCTAGCTTTGCTTCACCTTTACTCAAGCTTTCTCCCTTGCTCTTCCAAGCTCCATCACGCTTCTCAAATCACGAGCTAAGGTCCATACTCTATAATCCTCCTCATTAGTTCCCGAACTCACTCACTAACACCTATAAATCCCGGCTTTTGCACACAGGTGAGATCACTGCCCGAAACTCACAAAAGCTATTAAAAACTCATGCACAACATCAAAACACACCCTAAAACTCTTCTCTCAACCCTTGATAAGACGGCTTATCAAATTCCCCCATACTTGAACCTTTACTCGCCCTCGAGTAAACTTAGAGAATAGAACACATCTCCCCATTAAGGTTCAAAACAGAAGATGGCGGAACCGAACAAGCTCTACGCATTCAAACTCAAGAAGACATCCTAGCAACCACCAACTAACCGCCTTCTCACTTCACAAACTCCCTTTTTCATTTTTTTTTACATTCAACTCATCCCCTAAAACCAACCTAGAACAACAAGCACATAGCCAAGAGCATAGATATTCTCAACTATCATACCACACGGAACTTTTGATAAAATTGGGCAAACAAGACTCAACTAAACCAGAAGTCCACAAAAGAAAACACTTCCACACTCAAAAGTCAAGAAAAATAACTCTAGCTTTCTAAGCATGATCAACACTTCTCCCGAACTTCAACTATCTCCCGAAAACATCAAGATGAGACCTACCCGACACCTCCATATTTCTCCTCCCCTTATGACACCGACTCCGGCAAATGGATGCGCAAATTCACGAATTTTTCTCTCTCTTCTCTCATTTTGCCTAGGAGCCCTTTCGGGTTTTCATCCTAGCCTCTCATCTTTTTCCAAATCTCACTTTCTCACCCACTCATTAGCCACTTTTTTGCTTAGGTCGCCCTTTCGGGTTTTCAACCTAACCGGGTCCCCATTTTTGCCTAAGCCGCCTTTTCAGGTTTTCGGCTTAGCGGGTTTCTTTTTCTTTTTCTTTCTTTTTTTTTTCAATTTTTTTCGTTTTTCTTTTTCTTTTTGCATTTTTTTTTCATTGAACCACAATTAAGATAGTTATACAAAACATGAAATCAAGATAACTATACAAAATTTCAAAAAATATGCAATGAAAAGCTTCCCCCCCTACTTAAATGAGGCATTGTCCTCGATGAAAGAACAACTACAATGAAACCAAAAGTAAGGGAAAAGGAAGAAAATCGTTACCATCTCAATGAGAGGGACCTCCAGAGCCAGAAGAGCCGGCATCACCCCGAGAAGCACGCCTCTCGGAACGACGCAAAGCACGGGATGCCAGGTGATCCATGAACGCCTCAGTTGGGGGCTCATACTGTGGATATTGAGCGGTATAAAACCGACTCATGCTTCTCTGATATGCAAGCAGCTCTTGCATCCCATCGCACACCTCCTCTAGTCTATCATCTACATCAGCCCTCCAGTGAGGCCAATCATCATGCCGCACTTCAGCAGCATCCTCACCCCCTTCTTCATCCACATACTCCCCGCCCATTTGAACATCGGGATTTTCCTCCCCCATGTTCTCAACTATCACTTCGGCATCTCCCAAATAGGGGGCAACATCCGGGTCGGGCGCAAGGAAAAAGTCTGCGGTAGCAGTGCCAAAAGGTAATGCTCGTCCCTCGGGACGAGGAATTCTTAAATAGTTCAAACCCTGTGGTCCGTATCGCCAGAAATAACTACCGACGACGGGGGAACGCGATAACAAACCAATCTTGACCAGAGTCATGATGTTATAAGTTAGGTACGTCGAATCTACTGGCACAAGATCTGCGGGGGGTGGAACATTTAAATAACAAGTGAGCAGGGAGACCATACCACCCATGCTAATGTGGCCACTTGAATTTGACCGCACTTTCACACAGCTATCTACAAAAATATCGACCCAATTGGGGGTGCCGACACCCTCAGGGGTCATCGCCCACAAATAAGATAATGTAGCCTTGGGAACCTTAGTAGCTTCTCCTTGACATAGTATGGTGGACGAAATAAACCTATGAACGAGTCTAAGGCATGGGTGAGTGATCTTGAAGCTATGATCACCATGAGGGTCAACTTCACAACCAGTTATAGCCCTCCAAAATGTTCGGGACGAGTACGTGGTATAATCACCCCAATGGTTCACCAATGGGGGTGCATCCCAACCAAATGCCATTCGCATATCATCATAAGACATAACATAATTCCTATTATTCAAATTAAAGGATATTTGATCACGTCCTTTAGTAAGAGTTGAAAGGAATTCATAGGTATACCTGACATAGGTGGGGGCGCATTTGGTCATGAAATTCTCCAGACCCACTTTCCGTAGCAAGAGCCGCACTACTTCCTCCATGCCTAGCTCTTGCAAAGCTTCTAAGTCAAAAAACTTGGTGCATTGCACCGTTCGTCGTGGTTGTTGAAGCTTAGTCCATATCCCCTTCTCCTTGGAATTCAACCGCACACCCATGAATCCATCCCCTCGAGGCAATGGAGGTGCCTCACCTTGACTAGAAGAAGCACCTTGCTTCTTGCCCCTTGGGGGTCTTGATGGAGAGGATGCCTTAGACCTCTTGTTATCCCCACCCATGACTCTAATTGTATGCTTGTACCTTTACCTTCACTTTCAATTACGAGAAATTCAACTTGCACAACTACACAACCAACTCAATGTCAAACTTGAAATCAAGAGAAAATGGAAAATCTAGGTTGTAATTGTGATGGGAATTGAGGAGTGGATGAAAGGCAAGGACTTGGGAAAGGGAGATTGGTGCAATTGGAGTAAGGGGATGAAAGAATAGAGAGAAGGAGGAGAAAAGGAGTAAGGGTTTGTGGGAATTGGGGTTTACGAAAGGAGTAATGAAGGTAGGAGTTGGAAAGGGGGAAATAAGGGGGAAAAAAAAAATCGGGGAGGCTGGTGGAGCCGCTGGTAGCGGCTTGAGGCCCGCTGGCAGCGGCTGATACTGATTTTTTTTTTTTTTTTTTTTTTTTTTTTTTTTTTTTTGGGGGGGGGGGGTGCCGCTGGTAGCGGCTCTGCAGCAGCTACCAGCGGCTGGGACAGAGCCTAGGGTTTTTGGGCTGCCTGAAGACCCGCTGGTAGCGGCTGCAGAGCAGCTGCCAGCGGCTTCAGCAGGGAATGTCCCCTTTGGCTCTGTTTCAGCTTGTTTTTGCTGTGTTTCGGTCATAAAAGATGCTCCCGAGGCCTCCACCTACATAGAAACAACAAAAACACTCTTCACATCACAAGAAAAATTAAAAAAAAATAAACTACGAAAAGAAATGGGGAAGAGTTTTCGATCGGGTTGCCTCCCGATTAGCGCCTTTGTTTTACGTCGTTGGCTCGACACAACTCATGAAACTTCGTTAATCAATTGATGGCTCGTAGAGATCGATGTTCTCCAAATTCTCGACCTTGATCCCTTCGTAGTATGGTTTGAGCCTTTTTCCATTCACTTTGTTGGTCTCTAAACTCCGAATTTCTACCGCTCCATGCGGATAGACCTTGTCAACTTGAATTGGACCCTTCCAACGGGATCTCATCTTGTCATGCCACACCTTATTCTTTGCTTTGTGGTATACCTGGGATAATTTCTTGCCCGGAAATGATGACGGGGTGGGTGTTGCCCCTAGTGGTATAGGTGGAAGCTTGGACTGTTCATTCAATTCCGCCACCTTCACCTGCACATTAGTAGGTATAGAAGAATCCAAGCAATCACCAGACACAACATTAGTAATAGGTGTGAGGAGCTCATCCCCATGATCAATGTTAGAAACATCATGCAATATTGGATCGACAACATTTATAGAATATAAAGAATGAGTATCAACAGGATACTTTATGGTATCATAAATGTTATACACAATTGCTTTCCCATCAACCTCCATAGTCAAAGAACCGGTAGACACATCGATTTTTGTCTTAGCAGTCTTTAAGAAAGGTCTTCCTAACAGGATGGGGGCTGCTTGTTTGTCATGTTCCATGTCAAGGACGTAAAAGTCAGCAGGAAAGATCAATCCATCAACCTTAACAAGTACATCTTCTACTACCCCCTTAGGATATACATTGGACCTATCAGCTAACTGAATTACTACCCCAGTTTCATGCAAAGGCCCAAGTTCTAAAGATTTAAACAGGGAGTAGGGAATGACATTGATTGATGCACCTAGGTCCAACATGGCTCGGTGTAATGTGGTGTCTCCTATTGTAACAGGAATAGTAAACATACCAGGATCACCACATTTTTCTGGGAGTTTCTTTTGGAAAACTGCAGAAACACGAGCACTCACCTTCACTTTTTCTTTTCCTCCCAACCTGTGCTTTCTCTTGATCGTACACAGTTCCTTCATAAACTTAGCAAAACGAGGAACACTTTTAATCACATTCAAGAGGGGCATATTTACCTCACATTTGCTCAAAGTCTCATAAATATCCTTGTCTTTCTCATACCTTCGAGTATCTTGCAAGGCTTCTGGGAAAGGTGGCACAGGCTCATAAGAGGTAAAGGTTGGCGGATTCGCCTTAGTTTCTTGTTCTACTTCCTCCTCCTCAACTCCAATCAAGTCTTTAGCCTTCTTAGGTGCAACTACAGTTTCTTGCAACTTTTTGCCACTTCTCAATGTTATTGAATTAACTTGTTGCTTAGGGTTCAGCTCCGTTTGGGATGGAAGCTTTCCAGAGTCCTTAGCTTCAAGTCGGCTTACTGCACTTGAGATTTGACTGACTTGATTCTCCAGGTTTTGAATACTTGATCTGGTTTCTTGTTGAAACTGCATCATATTCTGCTGCATGGTAGAAACATTAGAAGTTAGTGATCTAATCATTTCTTCAGTTGACATATTACCTGAATTAGAGCTTTGGCCTTGAGGTGTTAGGAACGGTGCCCTATATTGCTGAAACTGTTGTTGACCTTGAGCATGCTGATGTTGTTGGTTTCCTTGGGAATTCCCATATCTCAAATTTGGATGATCTCTCCATCCTGGGTTGTAGGTATTTGAAAAGGGATCATATCTTCTCTGCGGACCTTGCCCTTGAAAACCTAAGGCGTTGGCCTGCTCATTATGCTCCTCTTGTAATTGAGGACATGCATCAGTGGGATGTCCCATGGAGGTGCATAAACCACAAGCATTCAGTTGCTGTGGATTCCTTGAGTTCACCATGAACTCACGCATCATAGAAGTCAAATCAGCTACTTGACTCTCTAACTCAGTTGTATTCGAATTTGCTAAATTCACCCGGCGCGTGGGAGTTCTCTGACTGAATTGCCTAGAATTTTTTGCTAGCTCTGCAATCAACCTAGTTGCATCTCCTGGAGTCTTATTCACTAGCCCTCCACCACTTGCTGCATTCACCATCCTCAAGTCATCATCAGTTAGACCTCCATAGAAGTATAGGATGAGGTCTTGATCGGAATACCCATGGTAAGGACAACTAGCACACAATCTCTTAAATCTCTCCCAATACTCATACAAGGATTCATCTTCCTTCTGATCCACATTGCTGATAGCTTTCTTAAGGCTTGCAGAAATAGTGGCTGGGTAGTACTTCTCAAGGAAACACTTCTTTAAATCTGCCCAAGTTGTTATGCTACCTGGGGGAAGATAGTAAAACCAATCCTTTGCTGCATCTTTGAGAGAAAAAGGAAATGCTCTCAACTGAATTTGTTCATCAGTCATCCCAATCGGTTTCATGCTAGTGCAAACCACATGAAATTCTGCCAGATGTTTATTCGGATCTTCGCCTTTCATGCCATGGAATGCCGGCAATAGATGAATTAGACCGGATTTGATCTCAACATTAGTACCTTCCTCCAACTGCTGGTATGCAATGCACAACGGTTGTTGGTTCAAGTTGGGAGTTGTGAGTTCCCTTAGAGTTCGATTGTCAGCCATCTGTTCTTCTTCTTGAATATTGAAGGAGTATGTTGATTCACTGGGGGTTGTTCTTGCCTCTTTTCGCAACCTGGAAATATTCCTTTCAATTTCTGGATCAAACTGCAAAACTTCTTTGTTAGCAGAACGGGTACTTATCATACCCTAGCGAACAAACAAAGAAAGATAGCTAAGAACAGTCCTAAAATAAATTCTACTAAGATAAACAATTAAAAAGTAATGCCTTAATTCCCCGGCAACGGCGCCAAAATTTGGTGTGCCTCAGTCGTATGCAACCAAAAATATCACAACTAAGCTAACTGCAAATAAACGTAGTTAGGGGAGTCGAGTTCGAATCCACAGGGAAAAAGGGACTAATAACTGCAAACCTAAGTGGAATTACTCTAGGAACGTAGTAATCTAAGTAACAAGGGGGTTTTGACAAGCAATGGTGACAATTAAACTAAATCAGAACAATGAACGTAAATAGTATGCAATCAATGAGAATAACGGTCTTGGTTATGCGAAATCCACAATTGAACATACAAATTGATCATAGAAGCTTCTTCAATCAAACACTATTGAACACCTTGTTGTAGAATTCTAAATTCTAAATTCTCATAAGCTAGTTAGAAATAGCAAAGCGCTCCTTTCTAACCCTTTCTAATGTATAATTTAAGACAAGCGCTCTAAATCATCCACAAGAAGAACATAAACGGAGAAATCAACAAGGATTGAATAAATTAACACAAGCGGTCTAATTTCTTCAATAATATTATTCCCTCTTTAAGTTATCAATCAAAAGCATGCATTCATAACCCAAAGTTGCTACTTTGGAAAGATTAATTAGATGCAAGCGAATCTAACAATTCTAACCTAGCAATTGATTAAAGCAAATCATGAAATAATTCAAAGGAATAATAAACATTCAATAGATAATAATAAAGAGAAGCGAAATCTCACAATTCGTAGCCAAAAGCTTCAATCTTTAACCAAGAATCCGGAAGATTACGCTTCCATGGATTCTAATTCAAAAACAAAGATTTCTGAAATTTGCCAAGAACCCTAGAAAACTTTTACTTCTCTCTAACTTAATTCTCACTAATTAATCTCCTTTAACTCTTCATAAAAATAGACTATATATATGTTTCCATACTTAAATAATATAAAACAATAATAAAAATAATAAATAAATACAAAACACGAGCCAAGACAAAGCAAACTGCTGAAAAATAACCAAAACAGGCCCCGAAATCTGGAAGACCCGCTGCCAGCTGCTCGGGACCCGCTGGCAGCGGCTAAAGCAGCAAAACACTTCGTCCTCTCTGGCTGACCCGCTGCCAGCGGCTCTGGCCAGCTGCCAGCGGCCCTGGCAGCGGTTCTGCTGTCTTCTTTGCTCTTTCTTCTAGCTTTGCTTCACCTTTACTCAAGCTTTCTCCCTTGCTCTTCCAAGCTCCATCACGCTTCTCAAATCACGAGCTAAGGTCCATACTCTATAATCCTCCTCATTAGTTCCCGAACTCACTCACTAACACCTATAAATCCCGGCTTTTGCACACAGGTGAGATCACTGCCCGAAACTCACAAAAGCTATTAAAAACTCATGCACAACATCAAAACACACCCTAAAACTCTTCTCTCAACCCTTGATAAGACGGCTTATCAATTATCTTCCTTTTACAAGACTTGGATGAATGCGGCAGATAAGGGTGAATTAAACAAGGCTAGTTCTCAACTTCAAGCCGCCACCGCTCGCAATCCACCTAAACCTTTGATGCATTCAACCACTACTACTCCTCCTAGTGGCCAAAACAAAGGAGTGAGAAGAAAATTAGACTTCTCATCTCCTAAGGCTCATTCGAAGGAAATAAAAAGGAAAGCTCCCTCAAAACCTGCGCAACAAGGTGTGAAGATCAAAGCACCTTCACCAAATACTCGTAAGAAAGCTCCAATAGTCAAAGGGAAAGGAAAACCGGTTGCAATGGCCCCAATCCCTAAATTGAAATACAATGTTTGGGTGAAGAAGAAGAGTGTAGGGGAAAGCTCCAAGGTCTCTAAAAATGCTGCGATGGAAACTACTCCTCCATCATCTGTGACAATCGAGGACATAGTAAAACCTTAGAGTGTTACAAAATTTTATCATTAGTTTTTTTTTTTTTGAATAAAGTGTAATCACTACTATTTTTTTCCGTTTACTATCAAGTCCAATAATGCCTCTCTTTTGAATGAAATAAAATGAGCTTTATATTTTTATATTTTTATATGACCGAATCATAAAGATTTCCTACGTATTCGCATTACGAAATCAGGTCTTTGCGTAGTTCTAATTTTTTATTATTATGTATTTTTTTTATTTTTTCTTTAATATCTTAGATAGAAATTAAATGAAAAATTAATCAAACCTTGTTTAAAAGCATTAAATCAAAGTTTAATGTTATTTTCCGAGTATATGTTATATTTAAGAAACACCCCTTTTTTTACCGTAAGTAGAAATCACAACTTCATTCAAACGCAAAAATTCGGGTCCGCAGTTCATCATCAGGTGGCGCGCGCAACGTCTGGAGTTGCGCAAACCTGTCGCGCGCAACAAAAAAGTTGCGCGTAACATCCTCGCGCAACTCTTCCAGTTGCGCGCGACACTTGTGCTACAAATGTCTCGAAAATAATTATTTTTCAAATTCTGTATTATTACCCCCCCCCAAGTGTGAAGATTTTTTCTTGATGTTAGAAAAAATTCAAACACTTTGAACGGTTTCTTATTTCTAAATTACCCCCCCAAGTGTTATGTATTTTACTGTGTTATTCGGTAAAATGCATAACACTTAGAATCTTTCAATTGAATGCTAATTAAAAAAAAGTTGTATGAGTGAACAAGTTTTATCCAGATTTCATATGTAATATTTCTTAAGGCGATCAATGTTTATTAATTGGCGAATTTCATCTCCTCAAATATCCATTAATCTGACGGCTCCTCCTGATAGGATTTCAATTACGCGGTAGGGACCTATCCAATTAGGTTTGAATTTCCCTCTTGGATCGGTTGGTGGACCCCTAACCTCTTTTAGTACAAAGTCACCTTCTTTTATATTTCTAGGTTTAACTCTTTTATTGAAATGGCGCGCAATGCGCCTTTGGTAGACTTGTACGTGATGCAAAGCTGTTAATCGTCGTTCATCGAGGAATAAAAGCTCTTCATACCTCGCTCTTACCCATTCAGCTTCCGGTAGCTTACTTTCAAGTACGATGCATAGGGATGGTATTTCCAGTTCGACTGGTTGAACTGCGTCCATTCCGAAAACTAAAGAGTATGGAGTTACTCCTATTGATGTTCGTATAGACGTTCTATAACCCCATAATGCGAAGTGTAGTTGACAAGGGAATAAACGCGTCGTCAATTGTCTATCCCTAGATCAAATACAATTTATACAACCTAAACAAACCTAATACGAGTATAAGGAAAGCATAGGGGTTGAACCATAGAGAACGGATAAACACCACCAAATGTTATCGACAATTAAGCTAGTTCGGAATAAGAGATAAATAAAGTAAAGTCTAAAGATGCTAAAATAAGAAATAAAACACTAAGGAAAATAGTTTAGGTATAGCATTCACATGAACATAAACAAAGGCATAGAAATTGAATTAATTATGAACTAAACATGCTCGAATATCGAAGTAAAGGATCCAATCTAGCCGCCTTCCGGGGTCAATTGGCTTCTCCTAACATAGTCGGCTTCTATGTTTCCACATTAGAACCATATACTAGAAGGTACTATTAAATAACAATCGATAGTAATGAACCTTAACTAAGTCAACTTCCGTTCCTTGTTAGCAAAGATTCACCTTTAATCAACCAACAATGTGCACTTGCAAGAAGATTAAAGAATGTCAAGCATATAAAGACTTTAATCACAAAAAATCAATTCTAAACCCTAGAACATGCTCAAGATCCAACTACACCACAACCATCCCCTTAATGGGGAGATTACTCACTAATCATGCTAATAACAAGATTAATTAACAAATAATCAAGAATAAACATGATTAACAAGCAATACCAACAACTAAAATAATAATCAAAATAAATCAAATAAAAATAGAGGAGAGAGAGTTAGAAATTCTAATTGATTGAAGATGAAAGTCTATAGAAAAGATGATCAATTTCTTCTTCAATATCCAAGTTCATCAATGGTGAAACTCTCACTTTCTCTCTCTAAACTACCCTAATCCTAACCTAAACCTAGAGAGAGAAGATCTCCTAAAAACTAATTAGAGAACAGAATAAAAATGGTAATTGTTTTCCTCCTCTTTATTTACCCTAAAAAATGGGTATATATACCAAGCTAATAAAATACTAAGTAAATAAAAGAAAAGAAAAGAAAGTAAAAAGGAAAAAGGAAAAATAAAATAAGAAAACTAATTATAAAAATAAAAGAAAGAAATAAAAATAAAAGAAAAAGAAAATAAAACCAAAAAACAATTCC